CTCCCCTTAAACCTTAAACTCCGCCGGGCCGTCTCGCGGCCGCGTTCAGCTCGGCTGTGTTTGGCTCAGCTTAGCTCGGCGGAGCTTGAGGCGCAACGAAGATGGCGACCAGAGGGTAGGGTCGAGCCGCGGAGACGCACACCGCAAGGCAACCTCTTCCCCCCCGGTAGAGACGGCCGTGGAGTAATCGGGGCGAGCCGCCCGCTCGGGTCGAGTACGGTGAGTGAGCAAGCCACGTTCGCAGAGTCGTTTCGGATTGTGTATCACGTGTGCGCGCCTCGCACCTGTCGGCGGCGACGACGGCGACGGCGGGTAACTATCGGCGGGCGGCGCGATCGACGAAATCTCGCGCGATCCCCCGTCCGTGGCTTTCGGTAAGTTCAATGCGCACAGATCAGCCTAGATCCGTCCGTGCCACAGAGCGAGAAACGGGAGCGGCGCGCGCGTGTGAGTGCCGCCGCACGCAACGTGACATGACGTGACTATGCGTGCGTACATGTGCGTCGCACACGCTTGAAAAGCCTAATCTAAACGGACGAGGAGAAAGATCGGAGGAGGTCATTCCGCGTTACCGAATCGTCAGCTTCGCCGCGAGGAGCAGAGAGGAAAACATCTAAGATCGAACGACGGAGGAAATTTTGAAAAGCCACCGTGATTTTCCGACAATTATATTCGTGGAAAACTTCCGCAGAGTCTGTTTTACTTTATTCCATGATTATTTCGTGTTGTAGTTTCATGCTGAGACGAACAATAGAATAAACACTAAGGGCCAATGTTCCTTAATTGTTGTCAAATTATTAAATGAGATATTAATTACTCTATTATTAGAGATTAATTAAATCTTTGTTTTAATATTTGTATTAATTTTTTAGACATGTTTGAGTGCTAATTTAACATAATGATTATGTATTTTTAAATAGTTTATTTATTGACATGTTTAGTGCTAAAATTATATATGAGTAAGCAAACAAATAATATAAAAATAATGTGTTTTAAATTCTAAGATGAATGAAGAAAATATATTTATCGTAAATGTCAATTTTACTGGAAAAATGTTTCCACAATTTATTTACCAATTATTAGTATCAATTTTTTTGTTTATTTTTAAAATAATATTTATATTACGTTCTAGCATATTTATCTTGAGTTAAATCAACACATAAAGAGTGAACTGTTTAGAACATGTGTTATATTTAACACAAATTTTTTTTCCAACGATGTATAATTATATCAATGATGTGTCATTATTATATTATTAATCAAATACTAATGTATCATAAAATAATAATATATAATATATCATTAATTATAAATATCAATTAATACTAGAACTATCACAGCAGTAAAAATAATTTTATATTTTTTTATATTTATAACGATACATTTTTTTAATTTTTGTAATTTCTGTTACAACATTACATTCATCGATTTAATTTACTTTTATCCCTTTTTTTTTTTAGAAATATATATAGCGCACGTATTTCTATAAGTAACATAAATAATGTACGTTAACCGTCAGTTCTATTGTTAAATTCCGCGACGTTGCGAGTAGAGTTTGTATTAAATAGAATTCTTTATAATTCTCAAACTTTTGCGATAAATCTCTCTTCTCGAGTTGCAACGTGAGCGCGACGCGATTTTGTTAACGAAGCATTGTCAGCGCTTTATATTTCTCGTTAGCCGTGCCTCTGCTCCTCAGGTTGCTCCACTTTTCGCCCGCAAGCATCACGCTGTCGTCGCAACGCCGCCGCGCCGTCAGCGATGGTGACAAAAATTGATCGGTGCGGTTAGCAGATCGGGTCACGTAAACGCGCGCGAGCTTTCAATCGCGCGATGTAAATGCGCCTCCGCGATCAATGCCTCCGGCTTCGCGTATACAAGGTGTCCCGCCGTCGATCGTGTGAAATTTTAATAGACCTTTAACGCATTCGCACGCTCCGCTTCCCCGCGCGGTGGAAACTTTGAAAAAAAATTTACCTTCGCGACACTTAAAGTCTGAACTGCAGTTCTGTCGAACGCAAAAGAATCGTGGATTGAGGCTTCAAAATTAAACAAGAAATAATAATATTGTAAAATCGCGTTATGAAAAATTAATTATTTGCAGTTTTCAATAGATTATTCAACATTAGCAAGATCGATATAAGATGCGTAAACAACATCAATAATTGTTAAATTGTTAGTCAATTTAACTCGTGATATTATTGCGGTAGGTTATTAATATTGCGTTTCAAGTCTGAACAAATTTCGACGCACAATCGAAGAATTACGTTCGTAGTATATAGATTTACACACAATTATTTAGAAGCACCCGTGATCCAGCTTAGACCGCTGTGGCATTGTCTCATTCGGTTAATATTGTATTTCAACGTAATATATTGTATTACTTATAGAATCAAATTAATTCTGGTATTTGTGATCATTATTGAATTATTCAAACATAATTTTGGAAATATCCATTTTAATATTAGTACAAAAATCTTGTCCATTGAAAGAGAAATCTCATGTCTTTTATTACGTTTACAGTACTAATTGTTAGAAAATAATAATGATAAATAACAATCACATATGCATCTATATCGTAATTCTTAATGCTTACTTTGTTATATAACATCTCTGTTTATTATCTAACATCCGTAAATATTATTAAATGAGACTGGTATTATCGATGGGTTTCCGCAATTTAATACCGAATAATGCTGATTAGAACTAGCGAAGAATTGCCTCCGGTATCTCTAATTTCTTTCAGATCTGGTGGTGGGTTCCTCCGGTTTTCTGCGGAATTCAGGATTCCGTCGATGGGCGCGCAGTGGTTAAAACACTAACTCATACATAATCCACTCGTCCTTCATTTGCGTCGATACCTAAATAGCGATTAATGCGCGTGTAACGTACTCATCAACGTCTAGTCAGAGGGACAGAGGGGAAAAAAAGGAAGAAAAAGAAGAGAAATGAATCGGCGAAAAAGGAAACCGTGACGCTCCGTTTGAGATAAGGGTCGACATGCCGAGAAACTAAGCCAAAGTGTGTAAATATAGAAACAAGATAAAACTGATTCACAGGGATCTCTTAACGGTCATCTTTCTCGTCGTCATGATATCGTACTAAAGGAAAACAAATTCACAATTCCAAGTTCCTCCACATTCCAAAGAAAATCGTCGTGCTTGGAGTAACGAAATACAGGTCGCCTGTGATTGAATTTTCAGAAAATCAATTATGAAGCTTTTATCAACGTCGAGTAAGTTAGATAAGATAGATAAGAATCGAGAGACTTGATCCAAGTGTTATCCAAATGCCATTTGAGTATTAGAGATTACGTTGAAGTGCGACAAATTAGACGAAAGCGCGAAACAAATAGCGTAGCTGGATGGCTTTATAAAAAATAATCGGCAGAAGAAAATGAATTCGAAGATATCGATCGGCGATACGACGGCACTAAAATTGTGACGAGATAGTTGAGTTCTCTGGTAACATCGATGCAGTGTTGGCCGGACGAGCCAGTGTTTCCAATTCAGCGACCACACAGAGCGAGGAGATTCCCTCTCGTTGAAAAAGCCTCTCGCGATTTATCATAGTTTTTGCACAAATCGATGATATTGAAAGGAAACGTTCCTATTTTCTATAATTATTGCTCGCTGTTTCATTAATATAATAGAAAATAGGCTGGCATAGTCAAAGTGAAGTTCTCAAAGAGTTTCGATGTAATGATTCTTTTCTGACATTTATTGAGTAAATAGGGTGATATAATTATAATATGAAGCAAAGTAATATCCATTATATCGAAAAAATTAACAATCGATTAGAGCTAATATATAAATCATTTAAAGAATAATATTGTATAGAGATTCAAACGTCACTTACACATATATTAAAATTGACGAAAAACCAAAGACGAGATAAAGTCGCAAGGTAAGCAAAGTTCCAAACTCGCGATTTTATTCGGAATCCCCGAAACGAATTAGCATTGAGGTAAAGTAAGTGCTCAGCCAAGCAAACAACAGGGTGAAAAAGTGAGAGGTTTCAGACGGCAAAAAGGAAGGAAGGCAGGAAGGAAGAAAAGAAGGTAATGGTCGCGCGAAAGCAAGCGTAGAAACCCGTCTGGACAAAACGCGGAAGAGCGACAGAATCGAGGGGGGTTCAGCGAGCGGGGGTGGAAGAGAGGAAGAGGAGCCCCGGTTATCGTCGGGAGGGGTTGTATCGGGGCTGATATCGACCGAGGATTGCGCTTGCGTGGAAAAAGGCGCGAGCGCAATTGTACGGTCGTTCCGAGAGAGCAACGGCGCCCTCCGCGTCGAAAGAGGAAAAGCCCTCTCGTTTCCCGTCGTCAGTCGATCGTCGCGTCGACGAGAAACTGGACTGCCGCTACCACCGTTCGGGAAGGAAAGACTTCCGGTTTCTCTTGCGGCAGAGCCGGCAGAGAGGCCGGGTGTACAACACACGGTGATTCCAACGCCCGCACTGGACCGCACTTCCGGAAGCGAGCTGCCCGGACGCGACCTCGCGGAGAGCTCGATTCCGCTCGGCACCGCGTTGTGAGTTCGACATCGCCGTGTCATCGGGGGACGGGGAAAACCCGCAGCGCAGGCGATTCGAGGCGGAGGGGGGCATATCGGGCGAGGTATATCGGGACGATAAGAGCACGATAAGCGGACTGGGTTTTATAAACGCCTATGCGTGTGCGCACTTCTTCTCTCCTCTCCGCCTCTCTTGTTCTCTTGCTCTCTCCGACCTCGTCCTCGTCATGCTGATAAAAGACGAATCTGGAGTTTTCCTCGAGAAAGATCGTGTCGCTACCAGTTCGGATCTGGCGATGCCGCGTGCTGGTCATTAAGTCACTGTGTGGTGACTCGATATCTAGAACTGGTGGATTTTTTTCTAACTCTTCGCTTTGTCGTTGATAATGATCGGGGTCACGGTCGCGTCGCGCACGCCGTGTTCGATCACCATGCTCGGAATGTGAAGCGACATCGATGCCTGGCGACTTCGTTCGGTTTAATATGAAGATATGTGAACTGTGTGGATAATAAATTCTCAGATTGAATAATTTGCCATCTATAAAGAGTCTCGGTATCAAACTTAGATTGCACTAACTATTTGCTGTAACTATTGATATATGGTTCTTCGAGGTACAGCGCATGTTGATGCAAGTTTGATCGAAGAACGATGCAATGATCAATGTGAGTTATTTTAAAGCGGGCGATCAAAACATACAGTACATACAGTATGCAGAGATAATCGAAGTCAAGCGTCGAAGTCTCTCGAGGCGTTATCGGAGTTCGGTCTGTCTGAACGCACAGCACGATGATTAGCATGCAGCAGCAAACGAATTTGAATATTGTAACCGGGCCCGAGCAGCCACAGGAAGAAGTGCAGCTAACCGAATTGCGGCCAGTGAAGCTGAAGCGATCGTACATCAAAGAAAATTACGCAGTCTTTAAGGATATCGACGTGACTAATACGACCGATTCGACCGATACGATCGACGCGGTCGATGCAACCGACGCTCTCAAAGCACTCAGGAGTCTCTCGGGTGACTGCAGCGATGGCGATAACTTTAACCTGCGGAAATCCAACTTTTGCAAGAATGCCGAACAATTGGAACTTCGGAGCAGTAAGCATCGACGAGTGGAGGTTTGTCGCAAAAGAGCGAAAGTAACCAAGAATAATGCTCAAAATGTAGATTTTGATGAAGAGGAAAATAGCGAGGTGGCGAAGAAGAAAGTGCGTAACGATAGCAAGATCGTGAAAATACCGAAAAGGAAACTTACGAGCTCGTCAATCAAGAAGAAGGATAACGATTGGGAAAGCAATTATGGAATGGATGAGAAATCGATTAGGAAGGATACTACCGAATCTGATGAAGATGACGAGGACGAACAACTGTACTTGGACTTAGAAAAAAAAGACTGTTTGAAGGATGAGGTTTACGTATATAGACAAGAATCGTTGGATCCATGCTCGAGCTCGGAATCAGAGGAACTGGATACGATCAATCATAAGGATTCTTGTGAGGATTATCCCACCACGGACGGAGAATTATTTAATGGAAAGAGAAAATTTATTGAAGAGACCTCTAACGCGGATAACGAGAAAGAAAAATTCGAATTCAAAACAGATGGCATTACTGAGAAAGAAATTCGTGAAAAGGAGCTGAAATTGAAGACCGATGCCATTCAATCGAATTATTTGCTGGAACGCGAAAATAATAACGTTGTGGGTTCTGACAAATCAAAAACTAAAATTATAGAGCACATAGGCACCTCCTCCGCTGCTGCGGAAACGAAAAAGACGAAAAAGAAGCGAACTGATCAGACTAAACAACCGAAAGATCCACAGAATCCTCAAAAGAAATACTGCTGTGTTGTATGCGACGCGCGCTTCAAGGGTAGCGGTGGTTTGCGGAATCACTACAAAGTATTACACGGTGACGGACCGGCGTTCAAGTGCGATGATTGCGGCAAGGAGTTTCCACTGAAGGAACGGCTGAAACTGCATGTGCGCACACATACCGGTTTCAAACCGTACAAATGCCAGGAGTGCGATAAGAGCTTCGCACGGGGTGGCCAGCTGGTACAACATCGTCGCACGCACAGCCAGGTCAGGCCATTCCATTGCAAGCTATGCTCCAACACCTTCACATGCGCGGCCAATCTAGCATTACACTTGAAACGTCACAACGGCCAAAAGGATCATAAGTGTGACCTGTGCGGACGTGCTTTCGTGCGACGCGATGCCCTGAAGAAGCATCTGGAGTGCCTGCACCGTGACGTCAAGTCATTTCTCTGCGCGATCTGCAATAAGACCTTCAAGGGTCACCTACCGCAACACATGAGGACACATGCGCACGACCGTCCACATGGCTGTGCCACGTGTGGTCAACGATTTGCCCAGAAGTCCCAGTTAACCGTGCACCAAAGGACCCATTCCGGCCAGCGACCGTTTCGATGTCAAGTCTGCTGGCAAGCTTTCGCTCATTCGACCGCTCTGAAGCTGCATACTCGACGTCATACCGGAGAACGGCCGTTTAAATGTCCCGAATGCAATGCCGGCTTCACTCAACTGCCACACTGGAAGAAGCACATGAAGTGCATACATGGTAGGAACAATCCATACGGTTGTAAGCGTTGCAAGAGCTTTTTCAGGATTAAAAGCGACCTGGAAAGTCACGAGAAGATTTGTCATCCAGAGATGGAGGCGGAGAACGACGATGGTGATGTCCTCCCAGCCGATAAATCGCCTGGCTGCTCCGAGATCGTCGAGAAGACTTCTGTCACCGCAAAATATAAACTAATGACGGTGGAGAAGATGCGGTTGCTGCTGGCAGTGCTGTTGAAGAAGATCAGCAAGCAGGAACGATTGGACGAGCTTGGCTTCGGTAAACGTCTTATCGACGACGTTCTTCAGGATTCCCTGAGGTATGCTGGCAAAGAACCAGTCATGAGGAATGGTTTGTCCGAACTTGAGGCTCTCACTCGAAATTTAGAAATTTTTCTAGAATGGACAGTACCGAAGAAGCATTGGGAGAATTTCCGTAAAATGAAAAAATCGGCCGAAGAGATTCTGGAGACGCTCACAGATACGTAAACGTTTACCCATTAATAATTTTATTGTCTTCTGCGTAAAGATTAGAAAAGAGTATATATAAGAGATAAAATCATTGGTATAAAGCCATCTCACATTTTTCTACACTCGGTCTTCAAAATTCGCATCTAAATTTAATTATTTTGTCCGGCTTATTTTTTTCTTAATATTTTTAATCTAGCTTTACACAAGACTTCATCTATAATTTTTCACGTTTCTTTTTTTACTTTTATAATTTACAATCATAAAAGTTTTTTAGGGAACGAAATAGAATGCCGGGTATTTATAATACAATCATAACATGATCTCTGCACTCATTACCTTTAATGATAAAGACTAATAACAATTTTCAAGAGAATATATTTAGTCATTTCTAATCACACATCAGTCGAAGATAAAACGGTCAAAGTGATATCGAGGAAGTTTCCTGTGATGTCTGGTTTAAAATAATTAACGAATATTCATTTCTGTGGTGCCATGTGTCATAATACTTGCCATACTAAACCAGTGAGTGGACCGTGTGATTTAGGGAAGCTAAGCAAATCTTTTTATTTAATTGTAGCATAAGATAAATTACATCGGAGTAGAATATGGATTGTCAAATTTAATTAATGAAAGCCAGGCGTGTGTGTCTTAAATGATGAAAACAAATACTGCCGCGCTTCTTCGGCGCTGAGGTAGAATTAGATAATACGTTCTCTTGCCATATTTGTTAAAAATGCGCATACACAAACTGGTGAACGACGGAGAAATTTTTTAACGCATACATTTTAATCATAAGCACGACAACCGTATACCAAAAGAAATGAGGCTAGAACGAGTCATTTGTAATTACGTTTTTTCACGCGTAATCGTTATATTATCCTATATGTATATTTATAAAGTCATTTATCATATCTATATATACATACACATTTATAAATTGAATATGAGATTTTATTATAAATAAATGTGTTCACGGACGCGTCCGCGGAAAATTGATATTCGGCAGTCCTGCGCGACGTTCCCGTTGTAGATGATACTATTATTCGTTATTTATCTCACTTATACATGCACTTGTGCGCAACTGAGGACTTGATTGGCCGCGGATGAGCAAACATGTTAGCGTGCCATCATTTTAGATAGTTATAGCAAATGTGAGCAGACAATAATGAACGAAGTTTAGTATATATTAGTCATTAAAGAGAAAAAAGATATATATTATATCCATATACACACATATATATACTTATATATATTGGTATTAGATGAATATATGCTGATGGACGCGAGGGGAGAGGGATACGTGATTTTTTTTTTTAAATTGATTGTAAAAGATGCTAAATTCTAGAAAAGTAATAGTAATTTATTTTATCTTGATGAACGAAAGTGTCGAATTTTACAGTAATATAAATTTACCGTAATGTAGAATTGATGGAAATAATTCTGTTTATAGACTGAAATCTTTGCTAACGCATAAAATCAAAATTAACTTAGTATTTTTTTATACGCAAAGTTCCTTTCCTTGACGTACCATGAGCATATTTATCAATTGTGCGTTTGGATAAAAGTAGTAAAAAATATTACAATTGGAGGTGCTATTTCGTGCGATATAATCGTTTGCAATACTTGTAGCTGTTGCTTGAAAAGAAATTTGTTTTCTAAGCTTTCTTTTCGGCGCGCAAGGATAATCGAATCCAAAGACTTTGTTCCTTTCATTGCCAAATATATCGTACTATATGTATCGTTACGTTTTATATGATTTCAATTTTATTATTGCAGGCATCGAGGTATGTTTTGCGTCTGTAAAGCGAGAGAAAAGCAAAGGAGTAGTATGAGTAACGCGTATTCATGCGTGTGACGCACCTTAATGTATTAACATGAGTCCGAATGTATGGCGTATACGTAGTGACTTAGCATTTTCAAATTTATTCGAAAGATCGAAATCTATACTTCGGTTGTGGATGCAAATGCGGGTCGGAGTGCACTTTGAATATAGATCGAGGTCGGAGGAGAGCCATTTCGAATGGCCGACAGGAAACGTAGCTTTTCACATTTCCTCAACGAAATCCAACTAACTCGATGATTTTGAGTTACGGTGCCAAAGTAAATAGCACTCTCGAGAATGATTATCCTGTGTTTTTAGCGAATTTTATTCCTTTTTTTCGCGCGAGATCACAAAAATAATGTTTAAATTCCATTTTCTTTTCTTCTCGACATTGATGAAATCGGGATGCTATTTATTATTTTTTTTTAGTGCCATATACTAAAACATAGTCATATTTGTACATTAATATAATGTGCGATGTGTGGAAGAAGACAATTTGAATAAACAACACATTTCTTTATTTGCTGGTTTCCTTTCTCAATATCACTTTCCTTTTAATTCTCGTGAATAGAGATCCCAATACACGTCATTCCATACCTATGTATATATTTATATAAACAATAATTAAAATGACTTTATCTTTTTACACACTTAGTATAATTGCATAAGAAAAATATATCAACTTAAAGTAAAATATCCATGAAAAAAACATGTATAGTATAGTATTTATCACATATGTCAAAGTCATGAGATTCATATATCGCGATACAAAATTTACGAATAATTAATATTATTGAAAATAGATTCTTCAAATAACCAATTAAATACGAATGGTTGTCTCATGTCCACTTGCAAACCATTGATATGTAGGCTCTGAAATCATTTTCATGTTTTAAAATTTTACTTTTTATTACAACGTTTTACTTTCATAAGATATTCATCATTATTTACTATTTTAATAGAATACTTACCGATGTGGAAAGATCAAATGAAAATCCTATCTCGTTGTTATTTAGGAATACTCTGGCGACTGGTTGTAATCCAAAAATCTGTACTGTTCCCAGAATTACCTCTTCATTAAAAGAGCCTTTATCCATTTCCACGTTCAATAAACTTGATTGATTTGCAATGAAAGACAGCCACAAATATTTTTTCTTTTTTATAGAATCTATACATTAAAAATAATTAGCATTCAAGATGTAATTCAATATGTAATCATTAAATATAAGATGTGTTAAATAATGTTTTACCTAAGTTATCACCATCGTCCCAATACAGTTCTCCTATGGCATTTTTAGTTTCATTTAATGCTACTATTAATTCAAAATTGTTTTTTCTGCTCTCTGTTGTTGTTACACCCGGTTCCTGTGCTGGAAGAATCGAACCTCCACGAATCAATAATGGTATTTTGTCAATTGGTGCAGGTAAGGTATAATATTTCCCGATGGAGAAAAAGGAATTGAGAGTATAATAATCATACCACAAACCACGTGGTACATAAACAGCTACCTCAGTTTTATCCTGCAAAATATAAATCAAAGCGATTAACTAAATATTACAGCGTCTCATGTTATATAAATAATAAAATAAACTGATAACATACCTCTTCGAGAACTGGATTGATCATAAGCGATTTTCCCCAAAGAAATTGTGTATCGATATCGTAAGTTTGTCGATCATCGATAAATCTAATAACATTTAATATATTATTTATACATATATATACATACACATACAGGCTGTTTGAGAAGTAATGAAAAATTTTGTCGCATAAAGGTAGAATAGACTAAACTGACAATGAGAGAAGTCCTCTACCATTTTACTATTTTCGCACGAGATATTAATTTATAAAAATATCTAAATTTGCCCGACAACAAGCAGCGATAGACATTGTCTAGCGACAATCATTGCCGCTCGTTATAAACAATGCGTGTCTAGCGACGGCGAACGCACACGGCGCACCTCGCTGGGCGGTATTCAGCCGCGCGCTTGCATTTAGCGGTGGGTCGGGCGAATTTGGATATTTTTATAAATTAATATCTCGTTAACTATTACGAAAATTGTAAAATGGTAGAGGACTTTTCTTCTCAGTTTAGTCCTTTCTACCCCTATGCGACAAAATTTTTCATTACTTCTCAAACACCCTGTATATTATTCACAATATGGGTACGACACAAAATATCAATACGTACTCAAAGAAAAGTGGCCGTGCCACAGTCTCCCCAAATTTATGTGCTCTGAAGAATAAGGTGTACAAATATGGTAAAAATCGATAACGTATTCTGAGAGAATTTTTTGATGATTGTACAACCAAGTCGCCCATAGCAACTGGATCTTGCTCCTATGTACATTATATATATTAATATATTTACATATTATATTGAAAATATTTCAATAATTATTATTGAAATTATATATCGATGTATCGGTACTCACAGTTGTATCATCTGAATTATGATTTCGAGAAAATGGATAAAAAGCACCAAGTTGCATCCAACGATTGCACAATGCAATAGTTGCGTTTCCATTAAAACCACAAATGTCTGCGCCCACCATTGGAATTTGATAAAAATTGAGTGACAAAATAGCTGGAATACTCATCTTTAAATCATGCCTGATAAAATGATTTTTTAATTAGTTACACAGGAAAGTATAATGAGTACATTTAAGATGGATATTCTAATTACCATGATGAATAAACGTCACCCGTCCAATGACCCGCATAATGACCATGTCCTACCCATGTCGAACGCGATATTATAAATGGTCTCTTTAGTCTAATCTTCCTAAGAGCACTGCACATAGTTTAAAATTGAATAAATTCTTAAAAGATAGAACAATAATAATCTGCTTATTATAAAAATATGTAAAGGAAAGCCGACCAAAGACAAACTAATAAATTAGAATCATATATATTATCAAGTAAATTTATGTTTAAATGCATTAAAGAAATTGAAACTAGTTTTAGCTTTATAAAGTTTTCATCACATTTGCTTAAAGTTGACTTTACAAAATGATTAAAAATAAATAATCAAAAATAAAAATCAAAAGGCATCAACAATTATAATAAGTACATCCAGTGTAGATGCATTCACTTATTTTAATGTACAATGAATGTTAAATTTAATTGATATTATACAGGGTATCCTAGAAGTAGATGGCCAAATTTTTATATCGTATTCTACTGTTTCTAAAAATAAAACGGGTCCAAAACTTTTCCTTTTTGAATTATGTATAAATACTTCTTGTTTATCTCAAA